AAAAAAAAAAAAAAAAAAAAAAGAGGCTACTTTAGGTCCATGTGCTCTTAACTCTTCAGCAAACTACTAGCTGCTGTTAAAGACTTACAAGTTTATTAGTCATTTCCCAGGAAGCAGTAAAATTGACTTCTGAAGAATGAAAACATTGTTTGAATTCCAGCTAAGTTAATGACTGCCCACTGGTAAAAAAAATAAACACTAGCTTTTTTCCCCCTTTTGTTATGCGAATTGAATAAAGAGAACATATAGAACCCAGCATAGTAACTGACACAAATCAAATAAACTATTTTATAGTCATATATATAACTGTAAAAATCTTAGTAATGATGTCACTGGGAAGCGTATGCTTGTAAGATACACAGCTCCAAATCACTAAAATCATCTGATTGGGGAAACTGGCCACAGGAGAAACCTTAAGCTTATGATAAAAATCTGGAAAATGAGCTGGGAGTGGTAGCACAAGTCTGTAATCTTGGCTACCCAGAAGGCTGAGGTAGGAGGATCTCAAGTTTGAGACCAGACTGAGCAATTTAGCGAGACCATGTCTCAGAAAAAGGGCTAGGTGTGCAGCTCTATAGCCCCTGGGTTAATCTTGACTTTCATTAAACAGAAAATAATCAGTGTAAGTATTTTTTTATGCTAGGATTAGCACAAGTAAAACTATTTCCTGATGAATCACAGGTTAAAGGAGAATTAACATTTGTCCAAATAAACCACAAATGTTACAAGTGCTTATTATGTGCCAGGTGCCAACTTGTGACATTTTATTTTAGAAACTATTTTCCTAATTTCACATATACTGCCATTTTTGAAAGTACCCCTGTCATAGAGCTTCATATTTCATCAGTGTTCTTTTAGGACAAGAAATAAATGAGCCGATTTAATTTATACACAAGATAAGCCTTAGACTTCACCTCTACAGATAAGCATTTATCACCACTATCTGAATTTATAATTTATAACTCACCTCTACACATAATCCCTAAATTTATAATTAAACTTATTCCACAGTGTAACACACTGAGTATAAAATTCATCATTGAATGGCCTTATCCCTAATATATTTTCTTCATTCAAGATAGATAACAAAAATCAATAGCTAAATTTTCTTGTTTCTGTAATATATTCTGCATGCTGGTTTCTTGATTGAATGAAAATGGCATTAAATGCTTTGAATTAACTGGCTGTGTTATCTCATGTGTGAAATTTAGGAAACAATATACTGTAGCGCCTGCTGCTAATACCATATGCCTATCATTTTGCATAAAGGTACTGTCATGGCCGGAAATAACACAACACCTGTCCTAGTCTTAGTTTAGAGGTATACTGTGAACCATCTAGTTAAATGATACAATGTCTAAACATCTTATCAAAAGCTAGAGCAAATGTCTAACTATGAGTTCACTTTAGTAAATGATTCATATATATCAGATAAATTGATCCAGCTAAGTTCTTACTCTGACACTTTGGTGGTGCTGAAAAATCTTTTCACTTAAACTAGAGGGAATCATCAATATAGGGCCTTCTGGATGTAAGACCTAAACCTGGATGAAGACAAAAAAGTTAAAATCCACTGTGCTTAACTGTGTATCACATATGTAATCAATTTTTCCAACAACACATAGAGGTAAAGTAGTATAGTCTTGAGTATACTGTTCTGCAAAGGGTAAGTAATCTTGCCAGGATGAGTAGTGAGTAGAACAGAAATCTGAAAGTATATATGGCTTTTCACTCCTACGTCTTATCCATGTATACTTCTTTTCTTAAAGAAAAGCAAGTAGGTTAAACTTGAAAACCCTGAACGTAAGAGGCAAATTTAAAAATGTGCACTGTTGTCAGGGCCGGGGATCTAACTTCGTGCTTCTGCCATCTGCCTCATAAGGCACAAGGTCCTGAGTTCAATCCCCAGTACCCCCCACCCAATTTTTTTTTCCACTGTTGTCAACATATGATAAATTATAAAAACAATGAAGTTTTTAACGAGTTTTAAATTCTGAATTATTTATTAGGTTGTGTTTTTAAAACTTTTATAAAAGTATCTTTTGGGACTTCGATGTTGCCAATTTTCCTCAGCTTTTTTTTTCCTTCTGTTTGTCTCTTCAAAAGTTTCATTTTTCGGGTAATATCACCACCATACTGAAAAGTATTTTAAAAAATTTTAAGTCCATATCACTTCATGAGAAAATAATTGCATAATTACACAGCAATATAATTCTAACACCTTTACCCAAGTATCCATAAAAGAGACATCTGTAAAGTTACCTCTCTAATATACTTGCTAATTTTACTACTTGCTCAAAGAATGATAAAGGCTTTCTTTATATTTCTCTATTAACTTGGCTTAAAATTTGGGATTGTATTATAGCCACAGTCTGATATGGAACTCTGATATTGTCATACATGTGGCAGAAGCTATGCTAAGCAATTAGAAAAAATCATTCAGTTCTTAATAATAACTGATTTAATAAATTTAACTGAGACAGTAAACTCTGGCAAAGCACTTATAGGAGAGGTAGATTTCAATTCCTAATACTGTTCCCACTGTATTACAGTCATTATCTTGAAAATCTTTCATTATATATTTACATGTTGCCTAGATTATGTAAATTTTAAAAATGCTCCCTTAGAATTTCTTAGGAAGAAATTTTATAAACAAGGTAACATTTAATAATGTAGCCAAATGAATTACTACTTTACCTACTAAATTTTGGTTACTATTTAGAAAGAAACAAAGGGCATATAAAAAACAGCAATGGAAAGCAATATATTTATACCCCCTTTTTGATTTTAAACACATAAAGCAGACACATTACAAAATAAAGTAAATGCAGCCAGATACATACACATTTTGCCAAAACATTTTTCCTATAGGCTTTCACACTGTAAAAGAAGAAATTTTACTTCAGTATATAATTTCATTATACTTTATTTCCAAAAACAGTTTCCCCTTTCCTAAGATTGTAATTACTGTCATTACCTATGTAAAACTGCTATAAGCAAACTACTTCAAATGCACTTGCATTTACTTAATTAGTAGACCAAATAAATTCATCATGATACCAACCTTTATGTACGTTATTAAAGGAAAAAAAAAGTCAAAGCTTACAGGTATCAGGCATGATTAGGCCAAATCAAGAGTATGATGTGACCATGACACAAGAATTATATTCTCTTATTTCTGGTTTATCTAAAAATAGTGCTACCACTTCAATAAAATTAAGATTACTGACTCCAACATATGTGGCTGGTATGGCTAGGAATATAAAGTATAAACTGAATCTTCTATATAAGCTATCTCAAAGCATTTTTATATATAACATATATATAATATACCCATCCCATCAGTTATAATACTGTAATATTCCAAGAAATTTCTGTATATCTTCAATTTTAAAAAATAACTATTGGGCCAGGGATTTAGCTCAGTGGTTCTGGCATCTGTCTTGCAAAGTGCAAGGACCCACGTTCGATCCCCACCCCCCTGCCAAAAAAATTGCTCTATATAGGTACTCAATAGAATATAGAAATTATTTTGTTTCCTTAAGGAATTCTTTACCTCAACATAATTTTGTAGATGACCATGTACTAACTTTTACATTGCACTTTCCAGAATATTCCACTCATTATCACCAACTCTAGTTTGCCTACTATTCTGTATTTCTATGAAATACTATAACTGAAGCAAAATAGTGTTAGCAGATAAAATTCATTTCAAATAATGGTCATAAAATTTATATTCAATCTATATAAAATAACCACTTAAGCTAGAATTTAATGGCAATTTCCAGCTTTTCATAGGTGTTTTTGATTTTCCAGAAGTCTTATGATCATAAGTGAAAGTGAAGTATCACAAAATACTTCTATACTTTCTGTTAAAAGTAAAGCAGGGGCTGGGGATAACTTAGTGGTACTATGCCTTCCTCAAAAGTGTAAGGTCCTGAGTTTGATCCCTGGTACAAAAAAAGTAAAGCAGATTTTTCAGAGTTCCGATTCATACACTTCATTTCATGGAAAAGACTACTTTCCTACAAAAAATAACCAATCTTCCATGTCTACTATAATACATGCTTGGTCCCTAAGTTGTGAATGTAAACCCTAAGGAGAAATTAATATTTCTTTTTGATTTACAAGTCCCTAGCTTGAGAGAAGTGACACTAGATACTTCAGGTAGAAAAACTTTAATTTTTGTTTTTTGATTTAGGTTCTCTTAAAATCTACCTGAATAGATTACAATCTACCTGGATAAAACCTTAAAGAGATTTCCTTATCCACGAAAATCAAGTCATTCAGTGTAAGTGGAAATATAGCTTATATTAACATCTCCCAATGGTGTTATATAATTGAAAGTAGCAGTCATCACTTAAACCAGTGGAACTGAGAGTCAGACAGCTCTACTGTTTCTTCAAGTAAGAATACAATTTGAACCAATATTAAAAGTTTCAATAATTTTTGGTGTTCTAGTTGTTTCACTTCTAAAAATAGCCTGGAAATAAAAATCAATTTCAACTCACGTTTCTCTTGCAATGATTTTACTTCCAATAGCAGCTTGAATTGCTATCTCAAACAGCTGCCTAGGAAGAGAATCCTTTAGACGTTCACATATGGTTTTCCCAACAGCGTATGCTTTGTCTCTGAGACAGAAAAAAGAAATATAATTATTTAAATATCCTAAATATTAATTACAGTATCTTTGAAATTCCTATGTATGAACAATATAAAGGTGATTTTTTTCATGGAGATTCAAACAGAATTCATTTATTATCAAAAAAATTCTAGTATCTGAACCATGAATAACTTTTCTGCTTTAAAAACTATTGAGCCAGGCATAGTAGTGCACATCTATAATCCCAGTACTCTGGGAGACTAAAGCAGAAGGATCACAAATTCAAGCCAAGCCTGCGCAACTTAGCGATTTAGTGAGACCCTATCCCAAATTTGTTTGTGTTTTTCGTCTTTTGAGACAGGGTCTCATTCTCTAGTCCAGGATGGCCTCAAACTTGTGGCAATTCTCTTATCTCAGCCTTCTGAATATGGGATTACAGGTGTGTACCACCACGCCCAGCTTCTATCCCAAATTTTAAAAACTATAAAAGGCTGAAATGTAGCTCAGTGAAAAGGCCCTGGGTTCAATTACCAGTACAGAAAGAAAGTCTACAAAATCTAGGAACACATATATTACAGAGTAAAAACAATTCTTGATATCCTAACACTTTTATGTTTGCTTTAAACAAACATCCTTTGTCCTTTTTTTGCAAATTCATTTTTTATGGACCAGCATATATACATCCTGTTTTCTTAATAAATATTTTTGTCATTTAATTTTCACAAATTTCAATAATCTATTTTAACCAATCAGCCAGTTTTTTGTTTTTTTTTTTGTCAGTTCTTGAACATCGATTTTTCAGCATTATTTTTATGAACATAAAACCTTTTTTGTTCTGGAACCAAAAGCCATCATTATAAAGTTTAAAAAAAGTTTTAAAAAAATTTCACAAGGTATGTAATTGAAACATTTCTTTCTATGACACTATTCTTTCTAGCTATTATAATTCTCTACTCTATATATTTAATACACTTGAAAAAAAGTGTGGAAGAACAATAGAACCATTACAGAGAAATCTATTTTACCTTTAAATGTTTTGAAAATGTAGCTGGTCAAATAAAAATGAATGTCCAATAAGAAAACATTCAAAAGCTATTACTTTCACCTTTCTCAATAAGTTTCAATTTAACTTACTTGTGTACGACAGTTACTAGTTCCTCTACAATATTTCCATTCAGGAGAATGTCCATTTTTATAAGTTCTGCAGTCTGGTAGCCTGCATCTTCATAATCAAAGCTAACAAGGAAAAAACTTAAGTTATGAACATACTTACCAGCCAATTATATTTTTCTTTCTTTATAAAATTGTCTTTTTTCCTATCCCTTTTATTACCCTCCGAAATCTAACTTCATCAAAATATTGTATACTCACTTTTATATAAATGACTCTAAATGTCCATGGAAAGGAACACCTTGTGCTTTTTGTTTACAATGTCCAGAGGGAGTAAGAGGAAAATGGCTAAGTTAGACTAGGTTTAATAGATTAATGAAGTCAGTGTCACCTCCTTCCCAATGTTGGCTTCTGGCCAATACTCTTAATGGGTCTTTCTTAGGATTTATAAATTTGGTTTCAGTTTAGTGTTCTATTAATGACAACCCTATGTTTAAATAGGATGGTACTGACAGACAGCTAGCTATTCATAAATGAACTCTAGTTTATACCTTCACAGAGCTTCTGTGACAATTAAATGAGTTAATATGTGTAAAGCACTTGGAGTACTGCCTAGTGCACATTAAGTAATTAAAACAGAGCACATATCAGCACTTAGGTTTACCTACCACTATTAACAATAAGGCCAAAACTTAATGTACAAAACAATACATAAGAAAGAAAATTGCCGTTGTCCTTCCAAGTCTTCCTATCCTGGACATGTATTTTCCTGCGGCCTTATAATTTTTACTAGTGTCAAACAACTGCGAAAATGTTTGGTTTTTATAATTTTCACTCTCATATCAAATTATTTCCTCTAATGTTGCTAAAGCCTTCTTCATTACAACTTGACTATACTAAAGGCTCCTTGTTAAGGAATATGGAGAATACAAAGAGACAATAAAATCTAAATGTATCCTCTGACTGATGTTTACAGCTCTAAAATACCTTATGTTTTCAAAAGAAACCATTATACAAATAATGGAAACATAACCTCTAACTAAAACACATATTCTAGTGTCAACTGAGAATGTGGGAAACACATTTGAAACTCCAAAAGGATACTGAGTTTGGGGTTTGAAGGCAAACAGCTTTTTGGTTTGGCATAACATCCTTGTTGTAAGGGAGCTGCAGTAGATTCTTGCTGTTTGGTATAAAATAAATTTTTCCTGATCTCAATCTATGGGAGGTCAATGAGCTGATTAATTTCTGTTAAGCATGGAACGGACTGCATTTGATAAACATCCATCTTGAATATAAGAATTACATGTGATTGAGGAAATTGCAATATTTTCTTATAGTTCAACATGAACCATTTTTTGAAGTGTGTTTAAGTTGCCAAGCTAAAGATTTTAAGACAACTTAATTCAAAGTAGTACCCACAGATAACATAATTCATGCACTTTTGCCAGAAGTGTTTATACAAACATTAAGCCTACTATTTTTAATTATAGTAATTGTTTATAATGCCACCTCATTTCATTTTAAACTTGTCACTTAGTCAAAATCTTTTTAAAAAGATTTATAGAAAAACCTGGGTGACAATATAGAAAAGTACATTTTCAATATAAACAAAACACAAAAGATTTCCTTCATAAAAAGAATTCCTATGTATACTACCTGTTCACTGAAAAGCTCATTTCATAAAGTTAAACATTCGGCTGAGTGTGGCATGTTGAACTCGAAGTTTTCTTTTATACGAGCATTGTGTACGCATCAGTTTTTCCCTTCTACTCTCCCAGTATGTTTCATATATTCTTCATGATCTACTGTATACTATTCTAGTCTGTAAACACTTTAGGATAGTGAGGACATCCTAAGTTGTGTGCCACAAGACAAAAGACTGCTAGAATGCTATACCCTTAGTTCCTTATATGCTAATATTGATTTTCCTTTTTTTTTGTTTCCTCATTGAATTTATTGGTATATATTAGGGATACAGTACAGTTGCATTCATCATTGGGATCTTGTACCTTTACATGACAGGTCTTGTTTCTCATTCCCCTTACCCCTGCCCTCCCTTCACCCCCTCCTCCCTTCCCTATTTACAAATACTTTATTTCCATTTTTTTGTTTTCTCATATTTTTTCTTTTCCCTTATTTCCTTTCCCCTACCCTTTCCACTTTTCCTACACCTTTAGTCCTTTTCTTCCTATTTCACCTTGTCAGTTATACCATTTGGATCTTATTTACATTTTTAGTTTTTCATACCCGAGAAACTATTCGATATTTACACATGGGTGACTAATTTATTTCACTTAAGAGTATGGCCTCAATATGCTGATTTTCCTTTCATTTTTATCTGACTGTGTTCTATATACTTCTATGGGAAACAGTGGTTTTTATGACATGGACCATTTAATCCTGGGAAGACCAATTTGTTAAAGTAAACATAAGTGTAAGTGCACATTTAATAGACATATTTAATAGACTGTAAGATGTATGTCTGTTTTTCAAATTTAAATAGATGCTTCTGGGATCATCATGTACCACACAATTACATTTTGAAAATACCAGTGAGGTAATAATAGCATCTTGAAAGTATGTACAGTTCTTAACCAAAAAGAAGGAATACACTCTTCATAGAGTGTTACTTTTTTTCATTAAGAGCAATAGACTGATGATAAATCAAAAGAACTTTTTCTCCTATAAGCAAATTACAAACATCCTCTAACACTTGAAAGTTTTTTCTAACCTTTCTAACTTCAGATATGATTCCTAACTTGCTTAAGAGATCCAAGATTACTAAATAGGTGAAATATTAGCATACTTGTTAGTATTTCAAAAAAGTTATCTACCCACTTGATATTTCCATTAATTTTTTACCTCGCATATCCAGAAGACAGAGATTTCAAAGAGTCATAAAAATCTACCACAATTTCATTCAAAGGGAAGAGATATTTAAGCATAACTCTATTTTGATCAATAAACATCAAATGTTTCTGAACTGCTCTTCGGGTCTAAAACAGAAAGAAATAAATGAATTTAATGATAACTTATTCAAATGTTAATCTAAACAGAGATGATGTCAATTACCAAGGTACAAATCCTAATAATAAAGAGCAGACAAAATGAAGAAATAGTTCGTCACTGTCTCAAGCAATATTTTTTAATACAGGCAGAACCATTTTTTTATTTCAGTTATATTATGCTGGGACCAAAGCTTTTAATCCATTGTTTTTAAGGTTTTTTTTAAATTATAATTACTTCATTCAGTGGTTCAATCAAATTAATTGCAACAAGTCCAAATTTTTAATAAGTAGATAAAGTCATAGAAATTAAATGACTAACCAAAACTACAGTACAATTTGTGATGAATTAAAACTCAGGCCTTCCAGTCACTATTTGATAAACTTTGCAATATGTGCTACAATATTTCAAATAGGAATTTTTGGGGAACATGATTACATTCCATTTGTGAATTATTATAATATGGCAAAAACTATTATGCCAAAAGAGGGATACCTTCCAATGTAGAGTCCTAAAGTTTTATAATTATCTTTCAAACAATATTCATTTTGAAGTACTCAGAAACTATAAGAAATGATACTTTTGACCACTACAGGATAAGTAAGTATTAAATTTCTTTCTTTTAGGCTAACATGTCAACTTAGTGGATTAACACGCATGGTAAAAATTATTAATTTTTGTTATTTATCAAAACAGTTTTAAAAGTATATGTATCTTTACATGTATAGATGCAGACAGATACATATAAAAATCTCTTATTAAATTCAGTTTGCATACGAGGTGGAAATTTTTCAAAACCTGAGCTAGGAATAGGTTACTTTTGTAATAAATTGTATGCATTTCTACCTGGCAAAGAGCCATTATTTTTCCAGTATATTCATCTGGTGTGATAATAGTGCCCAGAACAACTGGCTCCAGGTATTCTGCTACTTTTGACTTGTCAGGGAATTGTGCAGGGTTGATTATTGTGATTTCTTTTTCTCTGTATTCCTAAAAATTAGAAATATAAATGATTGTCAAAAAGAAATATTAATATAAAAATTATGTTCATTGTTTAATATAGTAGAGAACTTCTGTTGCAACTAATAAAAACAAAAGAATTCCTGAATGCTACATCTTTTTCTTTTTTAACAACCTTCAAATTGTAATCCTTTAACATTAACAATAATTTTTAATAAATAATATATTTTGGTTATTGACATTTACTAAACACATTTCCTATATCATTCAGAAAATGTATGGCAGCAATACACTTAGATTTTACCTACAGTCTTACAAGATAATACTACAGTACATTTTTTGCAAAATACTAATAGATGTCAAAGTCAGTATCTGTTTAAAATTAATTGCTTCTTAAAAGGAAAATAATAGTTTCTATCATTAACTTAAAATCTAATCCCACAGCTACAGAAATGAGTGCTTCACTTTTCGTAAGAAATTATGACCAAAATTATATTTTTCAATTTTGTGCTAAATTTAGAACAGTATTTTCATTACTAATTTTATATTTTAATGCCAGTGACAGACTAGTTTTGATAATGTGGAGTTAAGAAAACTTATGCATTAAAAAGGTTGTTCATTTTAAACATAAGCTAGTTCAATTTTTATTATTATAAATCAATAAATATTTATTTTTACTGACCATTCACCTATTAGTATACTGAAAAGTTTCTCTTAACATTCTGCATACACAAGAAGTTTTCCTTATGTTGGTCCAAAAATTATAGTACCTTTATCAATTTTGCTGATGAAAGAACAGCTTTATATGGAACAGTAGGTGTTGTCAAAATAACAGAAGTATTATATTCTTGCTCTAGTCGCTGGTTGAAAACTTCCATATGCAGAAGTCCAAGAAATCCCAACCTGGTAGAAAAAAGTCAAATTTCAAAATGTTTGTGTTCCATGAGCTCTATTTTTTTGTCTTCTTTGCTGAACTTATGTCACAGGAGAGGAATGGAATCAAAAAAATCATTTAGGCAATTCACATCACAATTCAATGCTACTACCATTTTATAAAATAAAATTCAAATCTTCCATTGGTTTCTATTATAAACCACTAGAAAATTTAATCCATAAAATGTGAAGCCATGATGTGGAAAAGGCATACATAGAATGTTTTAGTTCATTTTACTAAAATGAATTTATCTTCAGAAATGTTCATGAGCAATGTACTACTTTACTCTCCTGTAAGAAGGCAAGTCTACAATATGAACTTACCTCCAGCCAGCACCCAGGGCAAGACTACTATCCCGATGTACTGACACGCTGGAGTCATTTAAAGTCAGTTTTTCTATGGCACTCTTCAGGTTATTATATTCAGACTGATCTATAGGGTACATTCCTGGGAACACAAGGATTTCTCGTTATCACGTGATAAGCCATCTACAGAACAAACAATATAGTGTGTTACCAAGTGTAATATTGAACATTTAGCTTTTACATTCCTTTTCTACACTGGATTGAACAAAATAGTGGCTTGTTAAAAATCTATGAATATTAAATTGACTGCAAAGTCTCTTCCAAGTCAGTAGCTTTAATCAATATATAACTGGATTCAGACAACTGTTTTTATGCTTTTGTAGAAAATTCAGATGGAAAAAACAAGAATGAATTGTGGGGTTAGGCCTAATTGGGAAACAAACTGCTTCAAAAAGCAAAAGCATAAGATATTCCATAACTATAAATAAAACTGTTAATAACTTCACTTAACTCTTACTCTCTAATTCTTCATTCTCTATATTATTTATTTAAACCAAAGATAAAATTTGCTTTTCACAATTTACTAACAAAAACTATGGAAGGTACTGAATCATAGCATTTTTTCTTCACACATGCAAAAAATCCACATCTTAAGTCATCCAAAATTCTTATGACTGAGTTATAATGCATAATTCCCAGTGACAGAAATCATTAGAAGAAAACCAAGGGCAAGACACCTAGTATACAGTAACATCATGACCTATTCCAAATGTCTCTGGCATCACACAGTAGTAAAAAGTTCCAAGGGTGATATACTCAAGGGTACACTATTCTCTATCATGTCTGCACTAGTATATTATAAAGCCCAGCTAAGAGGAAGCCATTCAGTAAATGTCTACCAATAATTTATAATAAAAACATCCTAATTAGAAAAATATTTCAAATATAAGGAACTAACTTTAGAGAAACAAGATAATTCGTATTAACTATGCTCTCCTATATGTCAGCTCATAAGGAGTCCTAGATGATCTCCCATATAAAATTTAATCATATATATAAATTTATAAATTGATACAGGAATATAACACATACACAAAACAACAGTATCCTGGCACTAGCTGTTAGTTAAATAATTAGAATGTGTACTTATCTGCTAATAATTTTTCTTTCACTGCAGACACAGACTTTTAGTTTAAAAATACCTTGGACCTCAATCTTTAAATTTGTGAGCTCCTCACCTGCAAATACCATTGGTTTCGCTGATTTAAACCCAGGTAAGGGCTCCACTGGATGTTTATGTGAATACAACGTATCTCCTATTTGGGCTTCAGTGACATCTTTCATCCCAGCAATCAAATAGCCCACCTGTCCTGCATATCTAAATAAAATTATTATATGCATATATTTACTGTTTTAGTGTTTCAGGTATAGTTAAATTAGTTCTGCCTTCACAGGAAACTAGCACATAATTTCCAAACAAAACTTCACCAAAGTACAAAAAAGTAGACATATCAATTCTCAACTTAATAAACTTGATAAACTCTTTTCAGCAAAAGAATACACCATGTCTTACATGTTACCTAAAAATCTCTGCACAAGTCTAAGCCTTCCTCGTGACTGCTCATATTTTGCAAATTACAAAACTTCTAAAATATGATTTTAAGTCAAGTAGAAAAATGTCAACTCTCAACAAAACTGACATGTATCTAGTTTTTGTCTTACAGGAAAAAACAAATTCTAAAACTTTAGATTTAGCTTTGTTTAAAAAATATTACCTACACAATAACAAACACATAAAGGATAAGCTATGAGAACCTTAAATGAAGGTACAATAATGTTAAATACTGGCAGAATATAAACAGACTTTAGAAATATCTCCCTAAAATGAAAATAAATTTTCTGACAAAAAATATGAGTGAGCACCATAATGTTTTTTTAGACATACAACATTAATCCCTCGAATGTGATCTATGAGGTCATCTGGTTCAATTCTTTAATTTTTACACAGGAGGCAACAGGACCTAAGAAACCGCACACTATGTGTCCAAGGCTATATAGCTCACTGGTATCTAACACAGAGTAGGCATGCAATAGAATAGCTGTTTATCTATTTTTCTAATGTACACTACCTTGCTAATCTCCTTCCCTTGATTTTAATCAAAGTTTTACCATTAATTCTACATAAAAATGAAAATTTCTGTACTACCTTTATGTTGGAAAGCCTAGCTGCAATGAAATTAAGGAAAAAAAACTCAACATGGATATGGCTATAAACACTTTCCTTGTCCCATCAAATACATCGATATAGGATCCAATTTGTAGTGGATCATTAAATTAGTTATAACTAGTCATGAAGAATAAAAAAAAAAACACTATATTTTCTTTCTATTAAAGTTTCTATGGATTATTATTAGTTAAAACTAGTTATGAAGAAAAAAAAAAAAAAACACTATATTTTCTTTCTATTAAAGTTTCTACCATTTGTCACACTTGAGATCCTTGTAAAAGGCTTGTGTTTTATAGCTGCATTAAATCAGTTTTTCAAGTTAGCCAACTGGAATCATTCTAAGCACACAAAGTTGAAAGAGGAAGAAAAATAAATACAAGTATTTTAGTTACTATTACAGATTACTTACAATTTAAGAGTTGGCTGCTCACTAGGATTCAGAACTCCCACTTCATTAACTTCATATGTCTTTTGAGTATGTGCCGATACAATTTTATCTCCTCTGGAAACCATTCCATCAAACAATGCTACATTGGCTATCACACCTCTATATTGGTCAAAGGTGGAATCAAACACCAAAGCTCTCAGGGGATTTCTGCGATGCACCTTAGGACTATTAAATATAAGTTTAAAAAATACATATATGTGTGTGTGTGTGTGTGTGTGTGTGTGTGTGTGTGTGTATACTAAATTAATAATAGTATAAATGAATAGTATAAAAATAGCAAAATACTTACGGGGGTATTCTTTCAATAACTGCCTGAAGAACATATTCAACATTTGTTCCAAGTTTAGCAGAAATCTAAAGACATACAGATCAAAAAATAAAAGCATTTAAAAACAACACTTCTCTATACTGATGACTTAAGATCAGAAGGAAGAAAGAATTCTAATCAATTTAAATGGAGCAAAAGAAAAAGTACAAACTAAAAAAATCCTAACTCAAATACCTCTTTGTACTACACTTAAATGGTTCTATGGCTCTAGGATTGATTACAAAAATATTCGCCTTATGGTGTTGAGGGAATAAAGAGTTCAAAATTCAGTCAATCATGTTTCTCCATGGAACGTATGACTTTAACCATACTTATTTTTTGATCTTCCACTTCCTCACCTGAAAAATGAAATGATTATGCATATATGATTATTCAAGTTATTCATAGTTGGTCAACAAAATATGTAGCTGGTGTGCAACAATAAAGTATATTGCTATTTTGTTGTTCTTCAGAAGCATGCCATGACTTAGCCACATGCCTGTGACTGAACTTTGTCATCATTACTAAATGGACTATCTCTGAAATCTCAATTTCAAACCCACTCCCTGAAAGCTACCACTTACTCTATAGCAAGATTTTTCAGCATCACTACTAAAGACATTTTAGGTCAGAAAATTTTTTGTTTGGAGAGGATGCCCTATGTACTGTATAAGATTTAGCAGCAACTAGTGCATTTCATCTACTCACAAGATGCAAATACCTTCTCCTAAATTTTAACCTAAAATGTTTGGAAGGTAGAATCACAACCCACCGAGAACCAGTACATTAGTATCTTCTTTGCAACAAGCCTTAACTACTTATTGCTAAATGTATTACTCTTATCCATTACCTCCCACTCCCTTCCTAAGGTGGGGCTCCAAGGTCTACCACCTACAATCACTGCTTACAACCAGTTTTTATTATCTCCTAACACAAGCACCCTCTAAAGCCTCAAATTTGAATGCATCCAATATTGTGCCTTCTCCACTCATGGAGCAGTTTAACATTAGTAAAGAAAAATCAAATAACTGGTCTGGTTCATTTCTTTGAATTCATGATTGCAGATTTCAGTGTATAATCAACACCTCCTGATTGTCCCAGGGTATGTCTTTTAGTGAACTGCCATTACTAGGACACTATTTCACACCACCTTTTCAAGCCACACATTTTTTTTTACCTTGGTCAATTCACTTTCATGGAAGACTATAATATTTATCTAATAAAGGAAACAGAAAACATCAAAAACTCCCTCACACATACATTCAAACCTATCTGCACTATACCTACAAGTTTTCTGCCTTATCTTTTTACAATATGAGAATTATGCTTCTCTGAAAATCTGATCCTTTCCATGCTGTCCTTTCTAAAGGACAAGCTCTTACTCATAATGCCCCAATTTGACAATGTATCATCTGACCTCTAGTACATCTTCTCTAAGTACACTTTTCTCCCTAGGAAATCACATTCATGGCTATGCCTTTAAAAAACTCTAAGCAGATATAACTACTATGTATCCACCCTGACCAGTACTTTGCATGGAAGTCAGAACTGTGTATTTATACAAAATCTCTACATGGATATCTAAAAATCATTTCAAACTCATTATGTCCGAATATGTCCAAATGTCTTTATTTTCTCTCTAGATCTTTTCTCCTCTATTTATATACATATTGATAAATACCAATATTTAAACAGTTGCTCAAATACAAAGCCTCATTGATTATTCCCTTTCACTTCTTTACATGTAAGCCATCATCCAATCTTACTGTATCAAAAAATAAGGATCCTATTTATGTCTGGCTCTAGCACATACTTACCTAGGAAAATTTTCCACTTGGGCTACTACTGCTAATTGGTTTTCCTGCTCTTTTTATGCCTAACCAATTCTCTGTCTGGCAACCTGAAGATCAGTTTCTCTATGTTGCTTTAAACTTCTTTCATTATTCTAGAATAATTCTCAAACTCTTTAGCACATTATAAGTCCCAGCATGATTTGAATCCTGCATACACCTATAAAGCTATCTTACCCAACCTGTCTAGCTTCTTTTTCTTCAAAATACCACAACTTGTCCTATTTTAATTACCAGGTTGTATATAATCTATTATGTTCAGGATTAAAAAAACCCATTTTGTCACCTGACATTTGTTCTTTCAGAAACCAAATCAATATTGAGAGGAAAATGGTAGATTGCTTCAATGACATACTAGATTATCATATAGGATAGTAGTTTCCTTCTGGCTATTTAATAAGCAAACCATCACTTTAAAGGTAAATGAAAATTCAAATTAATAGTGGCATCAATTTTGATATAAATAAATTGATTGTTTCTTAATAGTACCATAAAAAAAATCACATCTATTTCTCCATTTCCTAGCTTTAAATACAACATGCACACTGAAAACTGTAACTAAAGCTAGCTTTATGAAAAAGCTTTTATGAATTAGCTTTTTGTCAATTCCATGAACAACAAAAATGCTTTGAAATTGTCTGAACTTGCTTTTCAGGGGGTATGATGGCATTTAAGAAATACAGATAATCTTTCTTTAATCAACTAACTACCTGTTTAATGACTATCCAGACTTATGACCCACCACTCGCTTAAACTTAAGACCTGTCTTTTTTTTTGTATAGTTCTGTACATCTTGTTTATACAATGTCTTTTTATGTAGTGTACTTGCTTATATAGTAATGTAATTTTTGCTGATTATGCTGTACAGTACGGTAGTTTTGTTGTTATGCATTACAATATTGCATGTAAGAGTCATGCAAATAAAAGCAAAGTCATAAGGTTGGATTTTCCTTTGACTACTTTGTTACAAATATTGTAATGTATGAACTATACATAAGTACTTATTTAGTGAGCAATCATTTAACAACCTTGTTGTAGTTCAGGAACTTGGTTGTTAAATGAGGAATGTGTGTATTACTACAGTGAATTTCAGAAGTCTCATGTTTTAGTTCTGGCACAGTCACTACACCTGTGATCTTAGAAAAGTGATAAAATCTATGAGGTTTAGTTCATTTAAATCTAATACAGCAAAAATTTCTTTATGTCATAGTAACAGAAAATGGGGTTTTGGTAAGAATCAAATGAAGTAATAATGAAAGAATGTTATAAAACTACAAAAACATTATACAAAGCCAGGTGATCCAATATAACTCAGGCCAATTATCTGAGAATTTCTGTAGTACAATCAATATTTTTCAAAAGAAAGATATTTTTTTTTACCTTAATACAGTCATCACTTGGAATATCAAATACTTTTTCAATTTGTTTTTCAACCCTTTCAGGATCTGCATTCTTCAGATCAATCTTAAAAAAAAGAAATCCATTGTGTTAATAAAATGTATTATGGTATTATGTTTCAACAGTCATTAGAGATAGTTAAAAGTTTATCTGCTTTAAACTATTTTTTTCAAAGTAGTTAAAATTATATATAAACAATATTTTTTTTAAAGCTTATCAATTAGTATCATATGGCCTGATTTAAAAAGTTAAACATAACAGGAAATCTGATAGCAATCTATGGGCAGTCTTGCTTCTCTTTTTTTCTTCCTCACTGAGTTTATTGGTATACTTTAGGTATACAGTACAGTTATGTTCATCATTAGGATCTTTTATCTTTACATGACAGGTCCTGGTTCTCATTTTTTTCCCCTTACCCCTGACCTCCATTTGCCCCCTCCTCCCATCCCTATTCACAAAAACTTTATTTCCATTTTTTCATTTTCTCATAATCTTTCTTTTCCCTTATATCCTTTCCCCTACCCTTCCTACTTCCCCTACACCTTTAATCCCTTTTCTTCCTATTTCACATTGTCTTGCTTCTCTAAAAACTAACCCCAATATTAAGAAATAGAATCTAATGTAATGATTTTAAATGAAGAGTCTTAATTTTGATAAAATATTTATAAACATAGCTCAGGTTAACACTGAAATGTTTTTTGTGTGGGCTTTATGAGTTTTCTCTTAGGTAAGCCCCTTTTCTTTTTCTATGTATATTTGGTATGACAGACATCTTTTGTCTATCTTCACCTCTTTCCTACAATAATGGCCTTCCCTTCCCTTATGACATTTGTTTGACAGGTACTATCTTCTTGACTATGTACAAAGACATAGGAGTCAAACCTGCACCTCTGTTACATGCAGCTCACAGACACAAATCCCACCAGTACACTGAATAAATAGCTGGAGTTTCCTCATATAAAAACATAGTGCACCTGATACTTAAACACTAAGTATAATTTTAGAAATTGAAGTAGCATTGTTGTATTATAATTACCTTGTTTATAACTGGAATTACTGATAGCTGTGCTTCAAAAGCAAGAAAGAAGTTTGCTACAGTTTGGGCTTGAATACCCTGAAAATATGAAGGCATAAAAGATTGAGATGATCATTTTACCACCTATCACAAAGAGCATTCCATACACCTTCATCAAAATTAAAGTTTTACATCACTCTAGTAACAAAATTACACCAAATGGTATGTATCTGCCTGCTGTGATTTGGATTTTGAATGTCCTCCTAAAGCCCATTATGTTAAGCTTAGTCCCCAGGCTCCTATTACTAGAAAGTAAGACCTCAGGGAGGTCCTTAGGTCATCAAGGCTGTCTCTTTCAAGGCAATGGTGCAGTCCTGGCCCTTTTATCTTCCTCTATTTTGCTTTCCAGTTGATGTGGTTTCGCCCCATTAACACAGGCCTGTTATGATGAGCTGCCTCACCCTAGGTGCAAAGCAACAGGGCTAATCAGCCACGGACTAGAACCTTCAAAGAGAGGCCAAATAAACTTTTTATCTTCATAATTATCTCAAGGATTTCATTAGAATGATTAAAAGCTGATTAACACTAGCCTTCCTGCTTTTGTCTGTAGTTTTGTCTTGTGGGGGGGGGTCAAAATAAAGATCGCAGATGGTAAAGCAATAGACAAACCAAGCAGGGTGAGGCAATGGACATTTTTACTAGGCTTGCCACAGGGAGCTTCACCCAGAAATAAAACACGAACTACAGAACATCACATTCATTCCATGGACTGAATCATTTTCTGTGATCATTCCTTTCAGTTCAGAAACATTATAGGAAGTTGCTCTTGTGTCAGGAACTGTCAGGCATCAGAACTACAAAGATGAAACATGGAGCCTCAAGGGCATCAAAGTCCACCACAAGACACACTCACATGGTGAAGTCTGTAAAGCCTGCTACTATGTATGCAGGTGCTGAATGACTGCTTGGCGGGTTCATGAAATGCTCAATGAAATAACAGAAAAAAATCCAAAGTCTTGAATGAAGAAGTTGTGAAAAACAAATATATCAAAAGCATATTTTCATACTGTGAAACATAGCTCTTTATAGCTATCTGCTGAATGTTTTTATGTATTTACACCTACACCACAAAAGAACTTGGTAGTAGTACTGATGTTTTTTAATCAGACAGTACTTTCTAAATTATTGCCTTACAATAAAACAGAACATGACCTGGAAACACAAAATATTTAAGCTCTGCTACAAACTGATATGAATTCGGATTAAGAACAGCTAAAAGTGGTAGGGAAGGTTTTGGTTTAGCATGTACTGATAATAGAGCATGACACTTTTACAAAAAAAAATAGAACAACAATTCTTCTGGTCACGTTGAAAAATTTAAAAGATGAACTCATCAACCTATAGGATACTTTAGTGTAATTACAATTCAAGTTTTAATAATGTTTTTATTTAAAAACAAAGATTTATTTCCAAAACAAAACATCTTAATGAATACCTCTGGAAATAACCAAAAAGAAACATCACATTATATAAGCTGAAAATTCCTACCTCATTTGCGTCAACCACTAGTAAAACACCTTGGCAAGCAGAAAGTGACCTGGATACTTCATAACTAAAATCAACATGGCCCTAAGAAACAAAAACATTGGCACATTTAAATGTTAGTAAATTTTTAGCGAGAGGCATTATGTCAAACTTTAAAAAGTTAACCATAGACTTTTTAATACTACTTTGTAGCACGTTACACTAACATCACAGCAATCAGAAAACAAAAAACAAAGGAATATATAACTTACTGGTGTATCAATAAGATTTAAAAGGTATTCCTTTCCTTCAAAATTGTAAAAAAGAGATGCTGTCTGTGCTTTAACAGTGATTCCTCTTTCTCGTTCCACTTGCAATTTATCAAGAACTTGCTTATTATTCTTTGTCTTATCAATTGTTCCTATAAATAGAAACACTGATATTTTTCTAGGCTTCACAAAAGGAAACATTCCATGTAAAATTAAAAACAAAACTCGAGAGTATGGTAAACTTCCAATTACTCACAGCAGTCAAATATATAAAATGAAAATACCTGTTAGTTCTAACAGCCTGTCAGCTAAAGTACTTTTGCCATGATCCACATGTGCAATGATACTAAAATTCCTAATATCTTCAACAGCAAATCTAGACATGTCTGGTTTTTCCTAGAAAGAGAAAATACCACATTGAAGTGTATAAATTTTACATAGTATAAAACAAATACACTAATTCAAAGAATATTCTGTTCATTTTTTAATTGATAGTTATTTTATATTTTTCTGACCTTTGAGAGAATGCCTAAACTTCTATTACAAAGAACACTTTACAAGAGCACTCATCAAATACATCAGTTCCATAGTCAGAGATAACTACAGGGCTAAATAAAATGTCTTTAATACATCACCACTTACAAGGCCAATCAGCAATTGAATTTATTTTCATAGAACACAAAACCACCTAGAACTCCTGAACATCTAAGAATGCCTTATCCTGCACATGCTCTTAAGGTACAGGAGCTACAGAAAAGCTGAAAAAAATGAAAGAAAATTCTCCGCTCCCATCACACACTTAATCACCAATCAGGTCTATTTAAAAATCTGAGTTCTGAATTACTGCCTTCAAAGTTACATTTATACACAATCTTGTGGCCCTCCTGAGAGAAAGAAAAAAGATTAACATCAAAAAAGGGGATTACTTAAAATTAAATATTTTAAAAAAAAGTTCCTGGTTTTCAGGACACACATAATATAAAAGACACATCACAAATATATTTACCTAAAATATACTGGTCTTTTAAACTCTAAAAATTGTATTTTTTTTTCATTTTAATCATTGTATCCTACTCTGTAAACAACGTGAAATTATGATTTGTATAAAATTCGCCTTTTCTTTTTATAACTGCTCCAGGGCCGATGAACACAAAATTATACCTTAACTGCAAAAAATAAAACTTTCATTATCTTTGACGTAACTTTTTTGGGGGGGGTCCATTCAAGTCAAAGGTTCGTAGAACTCCTTTAACTACTCTGAACTGACAAATGTATACGAATAATTTTAAAACCTTAGGTATCTTTGAAAAGGCTAAAATGATTAATTTTATAAAGCCTGTTTTTTCCATTAAATCAACTTGATTTCAGTCACTTCGCTTTTTGTGCCTAAAATGTATCTCTTCACAGTTATCAGTTTCTCGAGTTGCAAATCCCAAATCCTCAAATTATGAGTATAACTATTATACAGATTTTTTTTTTCTGGCTGAGGTACACCTGTAATCTCAGCATTCTGGGAGGCTGAGGCAGGAGATCATAAGTTCTAGCCCAATGTGGGCAATTTAGAGACTAGCGAGACCTACACTCAAAATAAGATAAAAAGAATTAGGGACGTAGGCGTTGAAGTCAATAGTCTCTTTACAGCACCAGTTTAAAAAAAAAAAAAATGGAAGCCATAACTAGGGCTTCCTGCATCCTAGGCACTGGACTGAAAAAAGCTTTATGCGAAACCTCCCAAACTGCCAGTGAATGATGTTTCATTGGTATTGCATTCAACAAATGAAGAGGCAGTCAGAGAAAGATCAAGTCACCTGTCCAGGTCAGATAGCTAATACAGTGCAAGAAAACGTAGGTTATACCAGGAGCTTCCAAGGAAGTTTTTGGCGGAATTAAACCTAAAAAGTTAAATGACTTGCCAGAGGTCACACTGCGGGAGTTGTGCAAGGATTAAAAAAAACAGCAACTCTAGAATTAACTGGAAGCCCGGTCCGCACCGAGTCCCAGGAAGCCCCAAAAGGTCCCAAGAGTGCCTGAAGCAGGCTGCTAAGTCCTGAAGGGGGCGAAATCACAGGCTCAAAGGCGGTCACCTTGAGCCCCACAGAGCTGCAGAGCCTGTCGCTAGCCCACGACCCCGCAGGAGTCCGGCTGGGTATAGGCAGGGGCCTGGGCAGCCCGGGTCGCGCGGCCGCTGTGGCCCACGGCAGGAGCACGCGTCTGTGCCAGCAGCCCCGGCCCGCGAGGGTCCACATGGCCCGAGCACCGAAAATGTCAACAGAAGGTCTGGAGAGGCGACGAAGCCATAGCTCTAGGTTGCGTTTGTTCCTAAGCTAGGCCGCCCAACGAAGACTCCGGACCGCTCCAGTGGCGAAATCAATCACGTTCCCGTACAATCCTCTCCCCTTAACCCCGGAAGGATGGCGTACAAGAGGAAACCCTCGCTGACGCACACGCGTCGCCAGACGCTCTGACGTCAGAGCGTCGCCGCGGTAGGGTGGGGTCACGGAAGTTTACCAAGTCCTCAAATGTGCTAGGTATTTAAGAGGTAAGCAGAGTTTTGCGTTTGCTGTGATATATTTTCTGGCGTTTGTGTGTCCTGTCAGTTCCCCATACTTCTCAGGAAATGCAGATCGGGTGACTTGTCTGAGAGCACGTTAGAGCCAGGTGTGCACCTGCAAATCTGATTCCTGATCCTTCGTTTTCCACACACACACTAGCGAGAGCTGCAGGAGGAGCTGAGGTTTAGATCATGGAGTAAAGATGCTTTTACCACCACAGTGCTCTTAAGCCTCCTATCTAGCTATTTGCGGAGTATAAAGGAATTTTTAAAATTTAGAAGTCAACATGTATTCCTCATGTTGCCAGTTACTGGACAAATACTGACAGGAGATATAATATTGATTGTAACAATGAATCCAGGAACATTTTGGAGAGGGGGGAAAAAAAAACTATTTCCTGAATGCCAATCTCCATGATCTTCAAGTTATTTTTAAATCAAATGCTTACCTTACAAAGCACAGAGCTCTGGAGAAGTAAGAATAGGGGAAGAGATGAAGACAGAGCCAAGGAGACGTGGAACAGTGGCGTATCTCCCAGTATTTGCCTTGGACTTTTCTGGAGTGACTAGAGTGGGATATAATGGAGGAACATGGCAGCTGTACTCAAATATTCTGACCGAAATCCTATATATTATTTCCAAAGCCTGTGAGCATTTTTTTTATTTGACAGATTTCTTGGGATCAAAAATTAACAGTCTCAATCTTTTTTGTAGAACTTTTAAGACGTAAAGCAGTCCCCATTACACAACTAATTCTAACTCCATCTTTGTTAGAGAAGATTATTTAAATACAACTGAGCATGATACTTTTAAGTCAGTTTGCCCAGACTTTTAATGATTTGAATAACCCTCACTGATCTTCACTTTCCTATCAAAGATAGATAGATCCTGTCATTGAAGTGCTAAAAAGAGATTTTGAAGTAGTAACATACTACAATAGATAAGATGGTCCAGAGTGAACTAAACTCGACTTAAACGTGGAGAGAGGTGACTACATTTTAAAGGGGGATGACAGGGTAGGGAACAGAAAAACTGGAATTGAATTCGTTGGGGAGTGACAATTTGCAAAAGATTGGAGAGGTCGGCGGGAAAGCCCTCTGCTTTGTTAATTGGTGCTTATAGGAGTCGGTCTCCTGCGCCCTGACAAAAGCTAGGAAACTGGTCCCCTGTCTTCAGATACTTGGTGGAACAAACTAAATTCTTCGAGCAGCCTTGAGACTTCTCAGTCAGGAATTTAAGGAGGCCGTAGTTATTATCATCAACAGCTGAGCTGTTAAAAACAGTCTTAGTGCTTTTACAAGTATTTTATTTTGGGGGGAGGAGGGCTTGTAGATGAAATCATTGGTGCTGAGGGTCTCTAGATTTTATAGGTAAATGTTGAGATCTTGCTTGAGAAGAGGACTCAGAGGAGGCTACCATTGTATATTGTTTATATTATTTCTCTTTAACTTTTATATGTGAATGACTTTATTTTTTATTTTTTTATTTTTATTTTTTTTGTACTCTGATACTTGTGCTTGCAAGGCAGGTGGCGAAACCACTGAACTAAATCCCCGGCCCTAAATGAGTTTATTTTAAATGAAAATTGTATGATTACCATTGAATGGGACAAGCACAGTAAAATGTCATAAAGAAAAAACAGTGAGTATAAATGTAATGAATAAAAAAAAGTGTTTGTTCTGTCTTGATTTTTAAAAGGGAGATCAGTAAGCATTAGAGAAGAATTTAAAAATATTACTGCTGGGGGAAAAAAGGAACCCTTCTACATTGTTGGTGGGGATGTAGGCCAGTACAACTACTCAGGAAATCAGTATGGAGATTCCCCCAAAAAATAAAACTAGAAATTGCATTCGAACCAGCTATTCCCCTTGTAGGTATCTTCCCAAAAGAGTTAAGGACGTATTACACTGGTACATGCATATGCCCATGTTTATAGCAGCACAACTTACAATAACTAAATATTGGGAGTAACTTTCTGTCAAAAAATGAATGAATAAAGAAAATGTGGTATTTACATACACATGTGCTATATTGAGTACTAGTCTGCCATAAAGAAGAATGAATTTGAATCATTTTTAGGAAAATGGCTGCACCTGAGACCATAATGTTAAGTGAAATAAGTCAGATACGTGAACTTAAATATTACATGGTATCTTTTCTATCAGAAACCCCAAATATAAATAAAGAGCAAAATAAAAAATGGATAATAGGAAACAGGGAGATTTTTCTTCAGTTCGGCAAGGAACCAAGAGAGAGGGGGGAGGCAAAGGGGAGGGAAAAAATGAAAAAATAAAACACCTTAAGATGTGTTACATATATGTATCAGCTCCCCATGATGAATGTAATCATATACTGCAAATGTACTAACAAAAATATTGCCAGACAGATCTTTCATGTCGATCTAAACACATATATTGAAATAAAGTTTAAAGAAGTTTCCTTGTATGATTCATTGACCTTGTTGCTGTGTCCATTACTCACCTAAACTTACTTGAAACCTCTAGAGGAAATAGCCCTACACTTTTAGGGGCAATGCAATATCATATGAGGCTAGCATTATGAAAAATACATTCATCCTCAGCAACATTGTGTCGAGTAATATGCTAGCTGTGGAAACATGGAGAACTTGAGCAAATTGTTTGAAATTAGACAATAGATGCTTTGGTTTGGATATGGTTTAAGAATGTTGCTAAAAGGTTCACATTCTGGAATATTGGAAATATAAGGGTATCAAAGTGTAAAGGATTAATTTAGTTCTCCCAATACCATTAGTTCCCATGAGGGCAGGCTGTTTTAAAAGAGCAAATGTGGCTTCTACCTGATCTCTTGCTTCTTCCCTGGCACAGGTAACCTCTCTCATGCACTTCTGCTATGTGACACTATGCACTAGGACATCAGAAATGGATTCTAGAAATGTGCTCTTCAGCTTCAAGAACTGTGAGCTAAATAAACTACTTTTTTAAAAAAATTCAACTTCAACTATTAGAGCAAAACAAAATGAGCTAAGACAATAGATACATGAATACAAAAATCCACCTTTGAGTCAAGATTGTTAGAAACCAAAACTTACCCCTTGCAGTATCTTTTAACAACAGAAGTTTATTTTTAAGCCTGGGAAGGAATGAGAGGTGAAGTCACTGAATCTTGAAAGGTGGGGTGTGGTACTATTTCTATGCTTTGAAGGATAAGTAGTCCCCCTAAAATATCTACAGTCTCCATGAGCAGTGGGTTAATCAATAGCATAATCACACTTGCTCTGTTCTCAGCACTATGGCACTATTCTACACATTTTTTACACATACATTTATTTAATCCTCACAGCCCCTTCTGATCTAAGTATCTTGCTTCTATTGCACAGAGGAAAAAACCTGGCCTGCCCATCTTACCTAACTGCCCAGAATCACAGTTAGTGAAGAAACAGGCCAGAGAGCCCAAGCAGACTGAGCCTGCACCGTTCACTGCTTCTTCACCTCAGCTCTGCTGAGCAAACATACCAGAGAGTAAACGCATATGACATACATTATTGGAATGAAACAGGCCAGAGAGCCCAAGCAGACTGAGCCTGCACCGTTCACTGCTTCACCTCAGCTCTGCTGAGCAAACATACCAGAGAGTAAACGCATATGACATACATTATTGGAAAATACTTGCAGAAGATTATGTCCTAAATTCAAGACAGAGATATTTTAAAGCAAGGGTTTCTGAACAGCTCATATATGTTGAAAACTCATAAATCATGATCCACTTCCCCCTAAGAATGATTGTATAATGTAGAGATTACATTCTTATATGACAAATTGATGCACAGCTATTACATTATATTTATGTTTTTAAGCATAGTGAAATGTGTTTAGTTTGCTAGAGCTGCCATAACAAAATACCACAAATCGAGTGGTTGAGACAACAGAAATTTATTTTCTTACAGTTCTAGAGGCTAGAAGTCCAATATCAAGGTGTCTACACAGTCAATCTCTTCTGAGACTTTTTACTTTGGTTTATAGACTACTTGATGGTTTCTCATGCAGTCTTCCATCTACAGATGTCTGCATTCTAACTTTTCTTACAAGGACACCAACTGTATTTGAGTTGGGCCCATGCTAAACCCCACACTTTAACATAATTACCTAAAGATGTGCATCTCCAAACACAGTCACATTCTGAGTATTGGAGGCTCTACTTCAATCTACGAATCTTAGCAATAGAGGAACACAGTTCATCCCTTAACAAAGGGAATGATAAATAAAAACATAAATAACTGTTTTATCTGTTTCAAGATTATTGACATTATGGATAATTTTTATCTCTAGCAATATTATTAATAAATGCTTTTAAATAACATCACAATAGTATTTAAAAGTATATTCACAATTTTATAGCACATTCATAAACTATATTATATTGCTGTTAGGTAGCCAATACAGTGTCATCTTTGTCTACAGTATAAACTCATCATAGAACTCATTTTTGAGGACCACTATTTAAATTGTGATTTAAAATGTTTTTTTAATTAGAAATGTAAATTGGGGCTTTATGACTACTTTTTATTGAGTTTATTGATACATTTTAGGTATACATAATGATTATATTCATGATTGGGAATTTGTTTTTGTTTTTGTTTTTTGTTTTGTTTTTTTGGGTTTTTTTTTTGGTACCGGGGATCGAACTTGGATCCTTGTGCTTGCAAGGCAGGCAGCAGAATCACTGAGCTAAATCCCTGGCCCAGTAAAGAAATCTGATAAATACTAATGCAGTTGTTTTGTTTGTTTTGTTTTTGGAACCGGGGATTGAACTCAGGACCTTGCGCTTGCAAGGTAGGTGGCTGAACCACTGAGTTAAATCCCTGGCTGTGATTGGGAATTTGTACTTGTATCTGTATATGATATATCTTGGTTCTTATTTTTTCCCCATTCTCCTGCCCTCCCTCTACCCCTCCCTATATTCAAAAGTTTTGCTTCCATTTCTTCTTCTTTTTCACCTCCCCAGTTCCACTTCTCCTTTGAACATTTTCTTCCTGTATCACAAAATTTATTATGAAGGTTGGTCCTCACTTACACTTTCAGCTTCGCACACCAGAGAAACAGTTTGGTATTCACCCATGTGTGTCCTATTTACTTCACTTAAGAGTATGGCCTCAATGTGCATCCATTTAGCTATGAATGTCTCTAGTTTATCTTTCTTTATGGCTGAGTAGTACTCCATTTTATTAAGAATAAGCTACATCTTCTTTATCCAGTCACCAATTGATGGGCATTTGGGCTGTTTCCAAGATTTAGCTCTTAGGTCGTGGGGTCAGCAAGGGTAGCCCCAGACTGTTGTGACAGGGAAGTGGCCAGTCACTGCCCAGCTGGCTTGGGCAGCTTTCCTTCCTCTACCTCAGGCCCTTGTAGCTTCACAGGGGCTGGAGGATGAGGTGGCAGTGGTGAAAGTGACTGAAGTCCAGGCTCAGCCTCAGAGCATGTGTTTCCTTCCAGGAGACAGAAACAGATGATTATAGCCAAGTGCTGTAATGAAGTATCAGGGAGCTCTCTGAAATAGTTGCAGAGTATCAAGCAAGAGATGTTGCTGGCAATTCCTTTGCAATGTTACTGGCTCAGCTGAAGAAGTACTTTTCCCCAGATGCCTTCCAGGATCTACTAAGGCTTGAAATATTTCCTCTCTTTCCTGAGAGATAACCACATTCTGGACAGCAGAAAACAGCAAGGAATAGAAGGTCTACCACAGAGCTAACAGAAACAATCCAGGAGAACAGTGATACAGCTACAAGAAAAGTTCAGATAAACCAGAAGCTGGAGAATCATAGACTTTCATCTGAAGAAACCTTAGAAAAACCTGAGGCTAGTTCTTCATGCTCACATATGGAAAATCAGAAACCCAGAAGACAGAAGATAAAGTCTCATTGTATAGTCTAGGATGGCTTCAAACTCACTGTCTGCCTGCCTCACTTCATTAGTCCTGGGATTACAGGTGCATGATCCTGTGCCCTGTAGGGTCATTTCTCATTCCATTTGAATTTTAGAATCAGCTGGACAATTTCTACAAAAATAATCCTGCTGGAGTTTGAAAGGTATTTTATCAAACCTAAGGATCAATTTGAAAGTAATTATCACTGGAATAATATTGAGTCTTCTAACCCATTAATAAGTTTGTCTTCTGAGAAGTCCAAAGAAGTCAAGGGATTATTTTGGGACTTTCAAGTAATTGTGAAGAGAAACAGCAAGGACCCATAACCCTTCCAAATTGCGTGTTCTGTGATCCTGTGCCTACAGAGCAAACAAGAAGGGGTTACAACGGACTGTGGCTACCATTTTGCTAATAGTCTCACACTCTCCCTCTGATGAAGCCCACTGCCATGTTGGGCTCTATGGGAAGGCCCTCTAGGCACCAGCTGCTGAGGAACTGAGGCCTTAGTTGAGCACCCACAGAGACCTGAGTCCTGACAGCAACCATGTGGGTGAACTTGGAAGCAGATCCTCCCTGATGGTCTTCATAGGAAACTGCGTCCCTGTGGCCTCGTGAGAAACCCTCAGGCAGATGATAGCTAAGCCATATCCGTATTCCTGAAAACACATGGTTTAAACTGCCATGTTTGGAAGGGTATAATTTGTCAGGCACCATGATAACTAATTCATATCCCAAGACATAACTATTATTGTAAATGTGTTATCATTCTTATATATTGATCTGTATAAAGACTATATCTGTATGTGTAGGAAAAATTTGTCAAATTTTTTATGCACTGTGATATCTAATTCACCTTCTAAGAGGTAACCATTATCTTAAATGTGTTATTTCTCATTCTTATACATGTTTTTGTATGAAGTTTCTATATTCATGTATATGTGCATGCACACATTTGTATGAATAATTCTCATGCATATGTATATAGAAAAATTGTATGGAATGTTTTTAAATTTCATATGGGTGCTATGATAACAGTTGTATGCTTCTGGAACTAGCTTTTCCCTTATTTATTTTTCTGCTACCTCCCCTCAGACTTTGCCCTTCCAAGAGGCCTTTCTCTGTCTCAGCCACTGTGGGTTTTAGTTTCCTCCTCAACTCAGCCCTTCAGTTTACCTGCCAAAGTCCCAAGCCAGTGAATTGAGTCCTAACTTAGACTAAGCTCAGCTTCTTCCCATTCTAAACAAGATCTAGGTGTAAGCTCTTCAACATCACATGGACCTCTGGGGGGATACCCGCATCATCACTTTGCTTTCTTCAAAAGTGGTGCTTCTCTCTGTGTGCATACACTAAAGTTTATGTGTTTAGTAATTACCTGTACACTTTGTAATATGTGATCTATATTCACTAGGTCCATAAAGGGCCTGATAGTCTGCATTTCTCCAAACTTTTGGGTATCACAGCTGCTCATGCTCCATGGACCGCGTGTTTAACAGTATGGTTTCAGAGACTAGAAATCTGTTTCCAAACAATTGCTTTAATTTGACAATATATATTGGACAGAAATACAAGAATCTAAATCTATCCAATGATGGGATACGATAGCTTTCTAAGAAGGTAAGGAAGGCTAAGAAACAAAACCAAACACAAATAATATAAGGAAATACTTAGTAGAAAATTTTTCTTTGGTTTGTACTGTCGACACTCTTGGGGTAATCAGATGAAGACCAATTAAACTATTTTCTACTTTGTGATATATTATTCTAAAACCAAAAATCTCAAAAACAAAACTTATTTTTCACAAATCCCTGAGTGACTCTCACTGTGTTAGGCATTTAGTCATAACTGAAAATTATGTGTTTATGGATCTTTCCTTTGCTATTTGAGGAGGACAAAGCCTGTTCAGTGTGCCATAGTCTTTGACCTGCAGAAATTAAGCACTATCCAGTACCAAATTACATGGTCCACTAGTGGCCACGCTGTATTTTCATCCATCAGGTAATTTTAGTAAACTCAAGACAATGCCTGTGCTTTGGTTA